CACTACCAGGCCCCACATGACCTCCATAAGCACCACCCACTCACTGCCAGGCCCCACATGATCTCCCTTAGGCACCACCTCCTCACTGCCAGACCCCAGTGCTGAACTTCTTTCCTTCCCTGCTTCTTGACAAATAGGCAAGTAATGACCTTCAAGGGATCAGTGCAATGGTCTGTTATCACCACACCCTTCAGCATGGGATAGGCCTCCTGCAGTTGCACCACCTACTGTGTTACCCATCCTTGTTAGTTACCCCCATACTCTTCTCAAACTGAACTCCCTGACAGGTCCCCCAAATGTACCCCAAAATCCATGCTCCCTTCCCCCTACAAACCCAGTGCGTTTACTCTCAGCTCGCCAGGGGGTGTGGGGCAGAGAGGACCACAAAGAGCAAAGCGCTTAGCAGGGTCTTGTCATTGCATCCGCATCACACTCAACTCCAGATAAAGTTCTGCACATTCCTCATGGAATCCTGAGAACCATCATGTAGGAACGGACCCTGACATATGCTTTTCTTTAAGGCCAAGGACGATGCTTGGGGACACTGGCCTGAAAGGCTTCATTGAATATACAAGCAGATGCCCTGCTCTGCCCCACAAAGGCCTTCCAGAGCCTTCTCAGTCTAACCATTGCGAAGAAAGCACGACACGATGGTGAGAAGCCTGCCTGTGGCCAGCAAAGAGATCTAGTTTATATAACTCTACTATAGGCCCCATGTACCTCTGAAACCTTGTTTCCTCACTTGTAAAAAGAAAAAGAAGGAAAGAAGAAAGGAAAAAGAGAAAGAAAGAAAGAAAGAAAGAAAGGAAGGAAGGAAGGAAGGAAGGAAGGAAGGAAGGAAGGAAGGAAGGCACTCCTTGCTTATCCCTCTTCAGCTAATCTTGAGGATTTGCTAAGAAGATCTAGGAGAGAGCATGGCCAACCTTTAGCTGGAAAGCCATGCAATAGCTTTGAAGGCAGCTCAATACAACATCATGTCGCAATGTCAAAAGTTTCGGCACCCTAGCTAGGTAAAGCAACACAGGCTGTATACTTTTCACACTCCATGATGACACGAGCCACACAGGTAAAGAACCGCTCAAATGAGACCCGTTCCTTCCCATCCTAACATGTCTGCCAAGCTGATATGCTTGGTATATTTACTTTTCTGTTATGACCAAATACCTGACAGGATGCAAATTAAAAGGGGCAGAGTCTATCCCACCCACGGGTCAGGGAATGCAGTGTTTGTGGTGGAGAAGGCATAGTGGTAGGAGCTGGAGCTGGCTGAATCCACCACAATCAAGAGGCAGAGTAACAAAGGTCAGTGCTCAACTGACTTTCTCCTTTTTACTCAGTTAGGACTAGAGACCATGGGATGCTGTCACCCACATTTAAGGTAGGTCTTCCCATCTCAACCCAATCTAAAAATTCCATGCCCACAGGGTTGTTTCCATAGTGATTCTAAATCCCATGAAGTTGACAATCAAGATTAAGTGTCACATACCAGGTGTGGTGGCACGCACCTTTAATACCAGTATTCAGGAGGCAGAGGCAAGAGGATCTCTGTGAGTTGAAAATCAGGCTGATCTATATACGAAATTGTAGGCCATCCAGCACTGCCTTAAAAAAAATTAACCATCACAAATGGGTTTTGAGACAAGATTTCATGTAACCCAGGCTCCCCTTGAACTCACAATGTAGGCAAGGATGGACCTGAACTCCTGTTCTTCTGCCTCCATTTCCTAAGCACTGGGGTTTCAGGTCTGCATAACAAGCCCTTCTTCAGATCACTGATTTTTGACAAAATTTACCCAGTAGACCTGGGTTACTATGGTATGAACAGTCAAAGAAGGGAAAAGGCTGGACAAGCTAGCGTCACCTATGGCTCCCAACCAGGGCCATCACGTGGGATTGTGTGTCTGGTTCTTTGAGATATCCTTCAACTTAACAGACTAGAGATGTCAAGCCTGGGGCTGGCTGGCACTGGCAGTATATTGGGAGCACATGGGAAGCAAAGTCGCCTGCTCTTGGCACCAATAGTGAATATATATTCTCTCAGGGCACAGCTAACCCTGGCCTCCTGAGCAGATGGCCCATGAAGCCAAGCACTTTTGAGAACTTTCAAGCACAAAAATTGGAGCAGACAACAGCACAAATCAACACCACAAATGAAACCTAAGAAACCTGGCACTTCAGCAAGGGGGAGGCACACCCAGCAGCCAGGCAAGCTGGCCTCTCAGACATGGTAGAGAGGGGCTCCTGCAGCCTCGAGTCTAGTCCACCAAGAACAGCTTTGTAACGGTCACCTGATGTCATCCCCGAACTGTGATCACTACTCACGGCTTGCCAGGGCCCGACCTCCAGGATACCTCAAGATGTCACCTTCCTCAGATCCCACAGCTGCCATCAGACCAAGCCTTGGAAGGAGATGTCACCTTTCTCAAAGTCACGACAGTCATCATGTCTCCAGGGATTTTTATAAGTGACCACTGTGCTACTAAACCTAGATGGGACACTTGGGGGAGGTGGGTCTGTGCTACGGGTTCTAGTTGGAGTCAGGGGAACAAAGATGCTCACTGGGCCGACTGGGCTGCAGAGGAATTAGGATGTGGACTGGACTGAAGGGCGATGTGCATGCAGGCTGACCTGGAAGGAAATAAGGCTGTCAACTAAGGCTGTGCTTTCAGGAAGCGCTTCTACCCACGCTGTGTTTTTTTATTTATAAAACAAACACTCATTTATTACTGCATGTGCTTCCTACCCAGGTAGACAAAGTCAGTCAATCACTCTCATCCAGCAGACAAGGAGGCACCTGAGGTGGGGTGCCTGTTAGTTGCTAACTTCACTCAGCTAGTATCCGACTCCGTCAACATCACATCATTGCTCGCTCTGCGCGCAGCTCTAGCACTTGCTATATAAAACCCCTTTCAGCACCACAGAAACACATTTGGGTTTGTAGTTGAAAGCTGGCCCTCACCTGAGAGAAAATGCTACCCACTCAAGAGAAGAAAAGCAACACAACCTATTCAGAAGGGCACTGTGTGTGGAAGGAGGCAAGTCACGCCTGCCCAGGCTTCACACTTGGACATAAAGCTAAAGCCAGAGTTCTGGTAGAATCCGCATCTGCTGTCAGAATCACAGAAGGGAAAGTTAGAACGCAATGGTCACATGTTGGATTGGCAAGCTGAAGAGTCATGCGTCTCTAATGAGTTGAAAACATGCACAGATCCATGAGCCTGGGCAACTTATGCCAAGCACAGATAGGTCCAGCTGGAAGAGGGCTTTGGAGCTGGTGGCAGCTGGAATATTCTCTTTCCTGTCTTACCCTAAAGATGAACTCAAGGGCTTGAGCATTAGAGTAACCAGAGTCCTCTCAGAGCCCACAAAGCTGGAACTCTGTAGGCTTCAATCCTGTATCCTGACCTAGGGCCCTATAGCCCACCTTGGGAACCTGAGCTATCAGAAATTCTGATACCAGCAAAGTTCAGAACACCTTTGTGGCAACCCACAAGGACCCACTCATGGAGAGTAACAGGTTGCCATATCTGGTCTTGTTAGAGCCCCTGTAGGGCAGACCTGACTAACCCTACTAAGAGCAGACCACACTGAAGGTGACATTCCTGGCTTCCCGCCTTTTGCCTGGGTTGGTTCAGCTAAGTTTATAAATGAGATATAACTGTCTGTTCTTTACTCCATGTCTACAGTCCCAGCTCCTATTTTGTGCTGAGAGCCATTCTCTCTCCTCACCCACCAATGTGCTAAGATTCAGCGTTGAGCTCACCCAATCTGTCAATCGGCTAAGAGTGTTCTGAACTACTATCCATATGACTCAATTTGTCAGTAAAAACTGCCACCAGCGCTGTGCTTGCAGAAAAATGTCCATAAATGCATTATTGCAACTGGCAGATCGATGTCTATAATAAAAACAAATAGATTTAACAAGTGCCTGCTTTTACGAGCCATGCCATTGGTGGACTGGACGTTTGGTGTCACCCTCGGACTTCTGGGAATGGGCCCCAGAGCCGGACTGGATACAGAGCTGACTTCACAAGTGTTATGGGTAGGAAATTATTCTAACAAGAAAATTTTAGTAGCAGAGTGGACACACCAGGCATTTATCTCTCTTTCACTGTTCCTTCTGTGGTTCTGCATGACAGCGAATAAAAGCTTTAAGACGTTTCTGTAGACTGTCTGAACTGGTCTTACTCGTATGTTGCAGGCCAAAATGAGTTCTTGCCACCTGGAGTGCACAAAACAGGTTTTAACCATGACCAAGATTGTCACCACTGTGTCTCTGGCCTCTGGGAATGGCCTATTTGGCTATTTCACTGAGGCAGACTCTAGAGCAAGGTGCAGGAGGCTAGGCTAACCCAGGGATGCCTGGCCTCTTGGGAGACCCAGCCTGTGACCGCTCCACATGAAAACCTGGCAGGGTACTGATTCCTTCAAGGTCACAGGAGGTCACCAAAGGAGTTAGCCCCCTTCTTAAGGCCAATCATTTTAACAGCTACAGGATGGGGTAAGCCCCTCATTACACTACACATAATCATTGCGTGGCTTTCCCCAAACCACACAGCCCTCCTCAGTGAGCCCTTTATTACTGCTAATTTTTAAGCCAAAAGGCTTGGCTACTGCCATGGCCAACAGCGGAATAGCAAGGACACACACCACAACATACTCAGGCCACAGTGCTGTGTCTCTAACCTTTATCTATCTATGCTTAGCACAGGCCTCCACAGCAAACAGAACAAGAAAATCCATCCTGTCAACCACGGCAGAGCCAGCCAGCAAAGACCTACTTACTCCCTTCTAGATAAATCCTGTGACTTCCAGTTCAGACCCAGAACTGGTGTAAGCCAGTTTATCTGTAGACAGGCTGACAGAGGGGGCAGGTTGCCCAGTGAAATGTTGGTCTATAGGTCTCTTATTTGAACCTTCAGGCTTTATTTAAGTAACAGTCTGCAGTCAGACACCAATGCCCTCAGTAAGAAATTGGGCAAAGCCATCCATCCACTCACCCAAACAGGGCCAGACATAGCTGTGGCAGCAGTCAAGCCAGGGTCATCCAGAGTCTGAGATCCTCTTCTGTGATACAGACCCAACCAGAAGCCAAGACCTGGGGGAAAGTGAATCTATTGGCGAGGGTGGGGCATAGGGGTAGCCTGGGATAGGATGGACACTTTACACTGGGGTGGGGTATTGGTAAGGCCACCGTGGACTATCCCCAACTTTCACAGTGCACCCAACTTTTTGTATTTTCCCACAGTACGAAGCATTAAGGACTCAGCAAATGGCTTGCATGTGTTGAATTTTGATCTTCTCCAGAGCTAATGGTCTGTGAGCCTTACAGCAAAGAGAAGCCACAGAAACAAGCAGGCCCATCTGACTTGTGCCCAGTGGGTCACACATGGCTGAGCACAGCTATGGATGTGGGCCAAGAAAAAAAAATTACAAACTTACTAAAATATTAGGAGATTTTTGTGAATTTGTTTTGGTATTTCATAATTTTCGATTGTGAACTGTATAGACGACAATGTCACACATGTCGAAAGCTGGGGTGGCATGTGAGTCCGTGGTGTGGCATGCTGTGCTGTTGGGTGGGGCTATTCAGGGGGTCAGTTCGGTGATGCCCTTTTTTGATTTATAGTATTTTCAGTTTCCTCAGGGGAGGGGGTAGCCACATCCCAAGCAGAGGAGCATGTGGCTAGTCCAGTGAGAAGGAGAAAAAGGAATTCAGACAACAGTTACCCTTCTGCCGCTTCCTATCAAAGCCAGACTGAGCAGCTAAGAAAGGCATTGACAAGGAGTTGGTCCTGATGGTCTGACCCCCCCACCCCCAGATCCTAAATGTGCTCATCATAAATTCAGAACGATTATGACAACTTAATTGGGTTGTCCAGTTGGTTGGCTAATTGTGTTTTGGAGACAGATGTTCACCCCGGCTCAAAGTAGGCTGCAACAACTGTGTAGTACAAACTGGCCTTTAATTCCTGGCAATACCCCTGACTTGGCCTCGCAAGCACCGGGATCACTGGGATCGGAAGCTTCTCAAGTACAAAGTTTAGCTTGAGGTACTGAACTCAGCTTGCACCTATTAACAAGTTCAGAGAAGGGTACAGAATCTCAATCTCCTGAAAGAGAAGAAAGAGGAGCAATTCTGACGTGCCTCCTGCCTGTGACCCTGCATTAGCGAAAGGGGGCCTTGACTGTCTAGACTGAGCAGTATTTCTGTAAATATGACACAAGCTCAGATCACCTAGGAAGCAGGAACTGCAACCGAGAAAATGCTTCAATCAGACGGGCCTGTGGGTTTGTCTCTGCTAACTGATAAGGAAGAGCCCAGTCCACTAAGGGTGCCCTGGGCAGGTGGTTGTGGGCTGTATAAAAAAGCAAGCTGAGCAAATCATGAAAAGCAAGCAGGAGAACAACATCCCTCTGTGGTCTTTGCTTCAGTTCCTGCCTCCAGGTTCCTGCCCTTCTTGAGTTCCTGTCCTGCCTTCCCTTCACTTCATGTAAGCCAAACAAACCCATCTCTCACCAAGCTGCTTAAGTCATTATATTTTAGCACAGCAATAAAAAACTAAGACAACTGCTTGCTTATGAAGGCAGGCCCAGTGAGGGGCGGGGGAGGAGAGACAGGCCCAGATGAGGCCTACTGACCTAGAGCAAGACCCAGAGATTGGTGACTTTTGCTTTCCACAGGAAGGTTGCAGTCTAAGACACGGTTGTCTAAGCACTGTACCCGGGGCTCTGCTTCTTAAACCTTCCATAATATAAGAGACCACTTCAAAGCCATGCTTTGTGATTTTTGTCTTTTTTCTTTTCTTTTTTCCCCCAGTGAAAAAGAATACTTCCACAGAAGAGTACCGTTAGCATAGCAGAGTTCTTGCAGCCTTGTTCCCACAAACCTCAGAAGGTGAGGCACGATTTCCCTGCCAAGGTCTAGAGAGAGCCCAGGAAGGAAAGAAGCCTCAGGCGGGCCAGTAGTGCAGGACCATTCTGCCCAGCCATGCTCAGGCTCTGGCAGATAATCAACAGGTCTAAGTTTACAGGACACTGACCACAAGCCAGGCTTCTTACACCTTCACAACCACCTAGGACCGCATCACCACAAGTATGGCAGCCATCAAGAGACACAGGAAGTCAATAAAATCATCTGGGACTACCTGTCAGGGAAGAGAGAAACAAGCAGGCCTAACACAGATTTTGCAGGGTGTATTATACCTTTTTCACAAGCTGTTTCCTGAGTCTGAGGACAGACAGACACAGATACAGACACATACACACACACAAACCTTGCTTCTCAGAACAAGACAATCAGTTTCTGAGTGAGGCACCTAGGAGTAAAACTGCTAAGACCTCACAGAACAAAGACCTAGACCCACTGGTTGAGAGAAGTTCATGGCCTGGAGTCACTGTACTGTCCCCACTTGGAAAGTGCCTGGCTGTCTGACTCCTGTCCACTCCAAGTGTTTAAGCATGATCTTTTGACCAGATGGACGTGCCTGACACCAGCCATGATGCTGCAGGATCCTGGGACTTGGGTACTTTCTCTTAGTCTCTAGAAGGAAGGAACTATGAGAAGCATGGGCCTGCAGCACTTCTTGAAGCTTCCCTACAGGGAGGTGAAGGGGTTCCTCAAGCCCTGGTCTGCAGTGACGGGAAAGAGGATGGTTAGGGAACCCACAAGGCCCGGTAGAAGCTTGAAAAGTGTTTGGCACTTGGAGGTGTGGCAGGAGACAGACACAGTCACCAGGCAGACTGGCCCACTGTACCCCAGGCCCAGGAAAAGCAGGGCCTACTCAGCGCAGCCTGTTCAGGGGGGGGCAGAGGTCCTGGAGAAAGGAAGGAGCCCTTAGGATAGATAACTCAGCAGCGGCTGTCTTCCTGGGCTCCGGACTTTCGCTTTCTCCAGGGAGGGACCCACACTGTGCCCCGAAACTCACCAGCTTGCAAACTATGCAGACACTCAGCAACTTGCAATGGTGGCTAAGAGCCTGGACGCCAAAACGCTAGGCTCTAGCAAGGGGAAACGAGGGTCGCAGGACACGCATGAGCTGGGGGCGGGCCCTGGTACTTGGGGAGGAGCAAGGCCTGTGCGCGCGGGAGGAGTCAAGTTACAGATGGCGTTGGGTTGTGGGGGTGTAGTAGGAGAGTGGAGGGTAAGCCTCGCGCGCGGGGGCGTGGCCGGGAGTTGCGGAAAGCGGGGCAAGGAGCCCAGGTCGGGCTGTCTGCAGCCAGAGCATGCCCAGTATGTGATGCTGGGCTGCAGTTCTGCGCAGCCTCTAGATATGGGCTCCCACGCCAGGCCTCCTACTTCAGACCTAAAACCGGTTCCTAGCCCACCTTAGAATTTGTGCTGTGAGGCCGGTTACCGGCGCCGGGCCTCAGCACCTTACCTCGGCCTCAGCATGCCATGCTCCAGTTTAGCCACTGTGACACAGTCACGAGCTGTCTGCCAACAGTATGTACCGAGGGGGTAGTGGGAGCTCTAGGCCCACTAGGAATCCGGGTCACTGCCGAACTGGGGCTGCACCTGCAAATTGGACCAGGGCTGTCTTTCAGGTCTTATTGGCACTTGCAGCCAAAATGGCTCAGTCGCTGTTCAGCTAATGCGGATATGCAGCTCTGGTGTGAGGTAACAGGAGTGAGTTTTGTCCACCAGGAAAGCCTTGCTGGAATTCTCCCTCTGTACTTCAGAATGTGGCCTTATTTGGAAACACGCAGAGGTGACACATGATGACGAGGTCACAAATTAGAAAAACCCTAATCTGATGGAACTACTGTTTTAAGAGCAGAAAGTGAACTGCCAGGTAAACCTGTGGCTACCGGATGCTGCAGGAGGCGAGGACTATGAGCCTCCTGGCCTGTAAACAACTTCCTATTAGTTCAAGCCACCCAATCTTTGGTACTTGATGGACAACGGCCTTAAGGAATGACATCACCCTGAAGTTTCAGAGAGACAGACATACATGGTGGTAATTTCAGGGTCCCATCCCAGATGTACATGTATTAAGAACCACGCTGTGATTCTCCTGGGGTTTGTTTGTTGATGCCTTCCCCTTCCTGGTGTGTAGCTCCCCTGCTTGGATTTGGCCCCAATACTAGTATCCTGGAGGAGCCAACATATTAACACCTTTAGGAAATGTTGCTCAGAGAAACTCGTCAATGTTTGTTGTATGGTGAGCCCCAGTGACTCACAGTGGCCACCATTAACCCTTTAAAGCCACTCCTCCTCACCTCTAACGTCCCCTTCTCTGGACATGCTAAGAGTAACTACTGATAGAGGATGAACTAGACTCCTGCGTGCATGGGATGATCAAATCAAGCCTTGGAGTCCTGTGATGGCTATTCTCATCAACTTGACTGGATTTGGAATTACCCAGGAGACCCACTTCTGGGCCTGTCTGGAAGGGATTTCCAGAGGGTGAGCCAAGGACCCTCGCTGAAGGTGGCTAGTGCTAGCTCTCCAAGAGCTGAGGTCCCAGGCTAGATGAAAAGGAAGCAGAGGGGAACACAAATGGAGCACCAGCATTCAACGCTGTCTTTGTCGTGATCAGCGGCCTCCGCTGCATTGTCGCGTGCCTTCCTCTCCAGGATGGACAGCGTCTCTCAGCCCTTTCTGACTTGCACCCTCTCAGGTATTTGGTTACAATGGTGGGCGGTGGGCGTAGGAGCCAGCACACCTCCTCAGCACTGTGCTCAGACAGACACGAGTCTTTATGCTCAGGGAACAGAGACATGAAACTGTTTAGCCTGTGTCCCGCCCTTCCTTATTAGTTCCCTAAGACTCTTCAGGAAGCCCTGGACTTCTTGGGTCCTGAAGTTCTTCATCCATACAGTAATTTCATAAGAATCTATGCTGTGCACGTGTAAAGCATACTTGCATATTGCTCGTGGGATAACAACAAAATATTGAGTAAGGATGCTATTTACCAGATTCCATATTAGCCCGACACGACTATGACCCGGTTAGGACTGGGATCCTAGTAGAACTGAAAATGAGAAACACCAAAATTAAATCAGAGCTAGTTCCAGGACAGGCTCCAAAGCCACAGAGAAACCCTGTCTCGAAAAACTAAAAAAAAAAAAAAAAAAATTAAATCAGAGTTCCTGTTGAGATCCCAACAAGTACACTCTGAAGCAGATACTATTAATGTATAATTATTAATAATAAGAAGAATCTTAACTTGTCTGTCTGGGTTACAGAACTGGAGAGATGACTCAGAGGTTAAGAACAGTGGCTACTCTTTCAGAGGGCCTGGGTTCAATTCCCAGAACCCACATGACAGCTCACAGCTGTCTGTAACTCAAGTCCCAGGGAATCCTATGCCTTCTTCTGGTTTCTGTGGGCACCAGGCACAGATGGAGTACAGACCTATATGTGGAGAACATACCTATACACATAAAGTAGATAAGATAGATAGATAGATAGATAGATAGATAGATAGATAGATAGATACAAACAATCTGGATTTTATTTTAATAGGAATTTCTGAGCGTGGCCAGTCAGACTTTTCTTTGCTGTGACAGTGCCTGAGAAAAACAAAGGGAGGAGCTGCTGCTTCTGGATCAGTTTCGAATGAAGGGATTCTAGTATGACTTCCTAGATTCTTCCAAGAACCAAGATGAAATCCAGTCTTCCTGTCCAGGCTGCCATAAGTACTTCTCCTCTGAGAAATAATTTCCCAAAACCCAAATCATTCCCAACCAAGGGCCCTGGCCTTTTCTCCTTTATCCTTTACCCAGGTGTCCTCACCAACTACCCTTCCTATCACTAGGGAACATAGGTTGCTCTAACTGGAGCCGTAGCCTGGTGGGAGAAACAGCAAGGAAGACACGCTAGGTCAGGACATCTGAGAGCAGGTTTCCTGCCCTGCCTCTCACAGAGCCACCTCTGACCTCACTCACCATAGGAGGAGGCTGTCCATTAGCCCGGATGAATGAGATTCTTTTGGGGTTTCCGATCTTAGGGTTAACAGATATATTCTTGTTCTCCTCTGGGCCCACATCACCATGAGTTGGTTTGTTTTTCTGTTTGTTTGTTTGTTTGTTTTATTGATTGATTTATTGAATTTAGAAGACTTGAGAAAGCCGTAGAAGTTGTGTTCGAGTCTAGCCGGAGTTCTTCAAGGGACTCCCTGGGTTTTCTCTCACATCAGCCAGCTCTGCTATGGGCACTGGGAACCATGGCGATTTGCATAGTTCCTCTAAGCATCTAAATGGATACCTTTCAGGTTAAGCAAATGAACTTGACATGGTGGGTGATTGCTTCTAATGATTTGTAACCCAGGAAATTTGTTTAATAAGCCTCTCTTCCCGAGCTATTCTGTGACATTAGAGACCATTTACAACAAAGCTGTCTTCAGTAGTCAAGCTTAATCCTTACTACCCTGCCTTTGGGAAATGAAGGGATTTTATAACGATCACATAAAACCTTATGTGATTTGAAAGCCCCGAACTCTGGACAAACGTGCAGTGGTCGTGTAACAAGAAACACGTCAAGAGCTCCCCACTTGACGTGTTTTACATACAGGCTGCCTTTACAAAAGCATTTCCAGTGGTGAGCTCTCGATTAATACGATCGATTTTCTCTGTCTTGGTGTTCTTGGCATCAGACCGTCTGGCCCGGGTGAAGCCTGGATCTAGTAGATACTAGGCTGGGAAGAAGCCTGAAAGGGAGAGAGGACCATTAGGCCCAGAGTGGGTACCATCTGACTACAGCTACACCCCTGTCCCATGCTGGTTCCTATTGATTCTTGGCACAGCTAAGGGCATCAGGGTATCATTGTAGCAGAAAGTACATACATGGGTGGGCAGCATGCCGTGAGAGGATGGCCTCCTTAGCCCTTGTTGTTCTACAGAAAGGCAAAAATCATTTCGCCGAGGAGCCCATGGGAGTTTCTGGAGCCATCTGGAAACCCTTTAGTCTTGGGTTGGGTTTGGAAAGGGCAAAGAAAGGGCTCTGCCAGTGTATAAAGGAGGCAGTCCAAAGACCCCTTCAAGACTTTGCTCTTTTGGTGGCCTGGTTGGTGGAAATCAAAAATTAAGGAGACATGTTGCGATTCCATGGAGCTCATGATTGAGTGATACATGAACAAGGAAGTATGTGGGGGTCAAGTGGAGCAGTGGGCATCTCCTTGGAAACATGAGTGTGTCCGTGGGGGACTCTCACTGTGGCCAGGCTCCTTCTCCAAGCTCTGGTCTCCAGCCACTGTGTGATCAGCTCTATGCACAAGGTGTGTGGTGCCCAACATATCTCCAACCCATAATAGCTGGGGTACCTCCTAGGCTTGGAAGACTGATGGAAAGAGAGGACTCCAAGTAAGCAGGTGTACACACAGAAATATAGGATTCCTGTTAATTGTGGAATTTGGATATAGTTGCCTAGTACCTCTCAGACAGAAAGTCATTCCAAACCTCATATTGCTCTTTTTCTAAAACATACTGTCTGTGGAGCAATGAGTATCCAGGATGGTGTGCCTGCAATGTAAACACGCAAATGAAAGACAACTCTTCTTACCCAATATATATGTATTGGATAAACCTATTTACAGAACAACTTCTGCCCATGGAAATATTTGGAGAGAAGTTTTCCTATCCTGTGTTGGGCTATCTGAGTGTCAAACGCCCAGAACTGGGAATTTTGTTAGATTATACAGCCCTTTCGAAACCGGCTCCTACACTCATTACAAAGTGTTTTTGTTCCATTTTCGGGAAGGGCTGTGTTTGTAACACGTTGTTGGCAGTTTGGGCTGAGTCTTTTAAGTGGTGTGAAATGCTAGGGGTGTGCACCTGGGTGCCAAGAGGAAGTAGGTCTCCCTCCCCGACCCCCACCCTCCGCCTTCTGGGGACAGGCCGCACCTGTTATTTTGTGACTTGGAAATTAAAGCAGGAGGCATGGGGATTTGGATGCTGGGATTGTGACTTTCCATCATCCATTTCTGACTGGGGATGAGAAATGAGAATAAGACAGGGCCAATTGCTGTGCCAAGGGCCCGGTTACAGTCATCAAAACAGGAACGGAGGAGGTAGTCCCTTTCGAGGAGAATGTCTTTAGTTTAGCCCCGGTGCATTGGCCCTTTAATAACATGGGAGATGGGGAG